AATAGATGGTTCTTGAATTGTGATTAGAAAGACAAAATGCCAGAGAAAAAGAAAATGCCAGGGGCAGAGACCACCGGCAGCCGTGAGGACTTAGAACAATGCACACTGGCAAATTATTTCAGAACTGCAGCTTCTCAGCCGGCCTTATTCCTTGCCAGGAGATCTTGACAGCAGGGTCCAGGAATGTTCAAAGCCAGTCTTGCTTCTGACCTCCTCCTGACCTGCACCTGGTGACTTGATGACACAGGTGACAACAGAGACAATTGCATGTACCGCCCACATTCGGTCTCCCCTCCCCCCATGCTCCTCCAAGCTGACAGAGAAGCAAAGTCCCTGCCCCCCACAGCACTTATCTTTCTCAGGACTTACAAACAGATGCAGATCTAGTAAACACCTGCTTTCCAGCTCAGACTCCTGGTGGGGATGCTGGCCTGGCACCATGGTTTATATGTCTTTCATGGAGGAATTGACCCTGCAACGTGGTGTCGGATTGGGGGGAGCTGTTGTCAGCAAGGAACCAGCAGGTAGTATGCCACTGGGCTGCATGTGGGTATGCCTTATGGTGAAGGTTTAATATCCGCTTGGACAAACCCTGGTGACGCAGTATGGAACTGGGCAGAGGCCCTTATCCTCCTCCAAATAGTGCTCAGCCTCAGCACCAAGGTCTCCTTATTTTTAGGGCCATGTCTGGGATTTTCTGCAGTCTTCGTCTTTTCCACTGTGACATTTCAGAAGACTCTTAGGTGACTGGACTCAAAAGTGGACTCCATGGACAGGGATGGTCAGCTTGTGGAGATGCGCCAAATTCTAGAATCAAATCTACTTCTCACTCTAAATGGGCTAGCTGAGGTCTTAGATTAAGATGAGTACATGAGACCCATATGAATGGAAACCTTTGAAGACAGTGGAAACAGAGAAGATGCCATTGGGGGAACTGATAATGGGATGGACAAGTAGGGAAGGGTACGCAATTTATACTTTGTCCTCTTAGGTTTTAATTAATACCCCTCTTTCACCAGAAGAGTTTGCCAATTAAAGGCCAGTCTCTCTTGATTCCTTTGCTTTAAAAGGACATTTTGATTCACCCAGGCAAGCAATTAACCCCCACCCCCGCCACACACACACACACACACACACTGCCCCACTCCCAAGTCTATTCCTTTCCAAAGCTCTGAGCAAGCTGAGTCCTATCTGCTCCTAGCACCCAGCATAGAGCCCTGGCTGGGAACTAGACTCGGGAACTCATCTGCAGTCATCAGAACGCCGAAGATTATCCAGGGAGGTCAGCCCTGGACCCCAGGCCTATTCCTTCATTGATAGTGGAAAACACTGCTTAGATTTTGTCTTTTCTGGGTGTGCAACTAACAGTAACTACAGGGTTTCTCCCTGGAGGACACTGGATCTCAGTCCCCGCCCCCAACTCCCAACCTCCAGTCTCTTTCTCTCTTTCCTCCCTCCTTCGTTTTCCTCCTCCTCCCCCATCTCTCCTCCTCCCCCATTCTTCCCTCCCTTCTGTCTTACCTTTCCTTCTCACACCTCTTGCAAGGGCAACTCGATTGCATTTCCTTTACTTTATGCAATTTTTAGTTAACTCCCTCCCTCTAGCAGCCGGGCACTAGGCCTTCATCTTAAGGTGCTCAGCACTCCTAAAGGGCAACCGAACCCAGGCTTCCCAATCTGTAAGGGAAGTGTTCTTTTGAACCTTTTGTTCTGCAAAACCTAGATAAAGTACTCACGGGGACTTCCCAAGTGATGGGTCCATTCCTCCCCATTCCCTTGAAGACCCAACAGGTTAGTCTTTAATAACCTCCTTGCAGAACAAAGTTGGGGCACATGTGTGCCATATTTACAATCCTCATTGTACCCATACAAGGCAACCTTGGGTCCTCCAATCAGGTATTTGGGGAGCGGGGAAGGTCAAATAAAGTGGCAAAGCCACACTCTGAACATTGCATTTTAATGACCTTAACGAGATCCCCATTTGTCCTCCCTTAGAAGTGGAAAAGGGAGAGATGTTTGATGCTCAATATTGCCAGCCACCAGTGGCCCTTTCCTTCCTGCTCTACCTTAAACTTGCCAGAAGGGATTGCTCTGGTGAGGGGGATACATTGTCATCTGTTTGTGTAAAGCAGATGTAATTGCCGGTCAACCAAAGCAATACAAAAATTTAGTACATACTCTGAAGGATTATAACTTAAAATTCAATAATTATGTTTCAAGAAAGTTAAATGTGTGAGTTTTCCTCACCTTTGTACAGTTAATCTGTAGTGATTGGTGGTTTTTTTGTTTGTTTGTTTGTTTGTTTTTGTTAAATTCAGAAGCTTTCTCTTCCAAGGCTGATATAATAAAATGGAACTCCTGTCATATTTGTCTAGCCTCCGTTCATGGGATAAAAATATACTTTTCCAATGAGATCACCTCGGCTCTATTCCTGAATTGCTATTATCAGCTAACCACAAGCAAAAGTGCCTTCAAATGTCGTCAGTTTGAAATCAGTTCTTCCCAGCTTGCAAAACTCCTAGCGCTTTTAAATCTAAGAAGTCACTAATTGTGCCGGTGAAATAACTAATTAACAATAAAACAAAAAGCATTTTCAACTTACAGATTTTTAAAGTTTAAACTAGACGTAGTTTAACAGTATGGCTTGTCTGCAGCAACGAACAGCAAGAAGGTAAATTTATTTTTTCAGTGAATGATGAGGCTTGAGGCGTAGTTCAGTTGGTAGACTGCTTGACTAAAAACGGGCAAGGCCTTGAGTTCAATCCCCAGGGCTGGAATAAAAAAAGCTACATATTGTGTTTAGAAAAATAGAGAATTGCTCTTGAGATTAGATAACACTTTTTAATATAAAGATTCACTGGAGAAACCAAAACATAGAACTTCTTTGCTCTTTTCATTTTAAAGGATAGTTTTCAAAGAGGTTACAAAAATGCATTTGAAACTTTAATGTTTTGGGCCCATCTATCTGCCTGTTCAATCATTCTCAACTATTTCTTTCTATGATGTCTGGAGCGCCTGGTTCATACCCTGAGCAATACAGAGAAGAAAGACTTGGCTGCCTTCACACTGGTGTTTGGTGTGTTGCTGTTCCCAGCTGACTGACACACTCTGTTCCCATTGTCACTGGCAGCACTATGTACTTGTGATATGAATAAAATGAATTACTCACTTGGATTTTATAAACTTTCTTTTAATTGTACGTTTGACCAAAAAAAGGTCAATGCTAGCTAAACTGTTCTTGCAAAGACTTTTAGAAATATTTAATACTTTTCTTTTTAGAGCTAAAATAAAACTACATTAAGAAATTGCTGGAGGAAGCACATTTATTTGTTATTTTTAGATTGTTTAGAAAAGTTCGGTACAACATTGAAAATATTTCTGGACAAAACTACAAATGTTCTCTGTGGGAAGGGAATTCGTTCACCTTTTAGTCTTATTGGGAGTGCGAGGTGACTGTCCCGAACTTTCTCTGTACTGGTACCCAGGACCCACATTAACCAACTCACCACCTCCCAAGCCCAGGCAAGGCCACGCTAAGCTTTGAAAAACAATTTAGGGGAAACTTGCTGATATTTTTTTTTATCACACAGTAAACTCCCGTGACACTGAGACAGAAATTCTGTTTGGTGCAAGCGGCAAAAAACACAATCTATCTGTGTTTACATGTGTATTCAGCCATGAAATTGAATACTATCAGAGCTGGAAAATGCAAATCAAATTAAAAGCAGAGAAAATTGCCTTTGGAATTATAGTACCCAGGAGTTCCAGAGTGTTTGCTTAAATGGAAATATTTTTTTAAAAATAACGGAGAGTGTCTAAATTGCCCTCTCACCGTCGTCTCCCCACTTCCATGGACTAATTCTTTAATTTTACCAGAAAATATTGTCCACTCTGGGTACAAACCGTCCACCACTATAACAAATCACACTTTGTTTTTCCAGAACATAGCTTTTCTTAAATATCAAGTTGCCCCCGTTAAGCCATGTGTCCCTAAAATCAGGCTTGCTTCAGCATCCCCGATTCATATTCGGAGCTGAGCAGCGCTTGCTGTACTCCTCTGGCACGCTCAGGGGTGCGCGGCGCTTGCAGGCGGCCCCGGCCCTAGAAGCCACGCAACTCGCATGGGCCACGACTCTCAATCTGTGGATTGGCGAGCCGAGCCGCCGGGGCGGCCCTGGTGGTTTCCAAGTAGCCGACCACTGCAGATCAAACTCCTGAGAGACAGTGGGGCCCAGGTGGAATGAAGGCTTCTCTTCTCGGAGCTCACAGTCCACTGGGACGCCGCAGGGCCAAAAGAAAAGGAAAACGCCCGCCTATTGTCGGGGAGAATGGGTAAATAAAAGAGCGAGAGAAGCAGGATCGCGGCAGGTGAGAGGGGCAACCTTTGGCCCAGCGCTCCAAGTTTTAGAATGTGGAGAACCCACCCTTGTCGGCCTTGATAGCCATCCGGGCGAGACCAGACCTACTCCACTGTCCCCACAGTGGGCATTTTACTTCTCTTCCTCCCCTCCCCCACGTCCTTCGGGTCCCTGGGAAAACCAAACTTGGTCTCTGCTTCAGGTGCCAAGGTCAAGCAGCTTTCAGAAACAGTCTTGGGCCAAGTGTCAGCCAGACCAACCCACGTCCACCTGGGTTCTAAGTGAGGGGTGCTGGGGACCCCCCGCAGTGGCCAGGCTGTGCTAACGTGGGGTAGAATAAACTTTCATGTTACTTGGTGACCTCTGAAGATTCTCATTTCTCCCTTCCGACACTTGCCCACCCCCTCCGGCCCCAAAGATCCTTGACTCTAGCCCGCGGTCGCAAAGAGCAACCTCACTTTTTCTTCTCTGGAGAGGAAGATGGTTGAGCGGCCTGTGCGTCATTTTTTCCTCCCTCCTGGCTATCCCAGACCTGGTGGTCCGATTGCCAGCCCCAGTTACAGAACGATAACTCCTGTCCAGCCGTGGGCACAGCGGAAGCCGGTTTTCACTCGAAACTTGTCGGTCTATTTTTTTTTCCAGGAACCCCAACGGTGCAGAACTGTGCCACCGCGCCTAGAAGACAGCCTGAGGCTCCTGGGCAGATCCCGTAAGTTCCAGTTGGGGAGATTCCGGAACCCTTTTCCAAAGAGTGTTGCGCTGATCGCGTGTGTGTGTGTTGTTTTCAAAACCAAGCAAAGGAAACAGCAACCAATTAAAATGAAATATTTTCAGTTCCCTCCTACGTTGTCAGTGATTTGCCCCCGGGGATCCACAATTTTCCCAAGCCTGTTAACGGGTGACAATGAATGAGTGCCTCCTGTAATTTAATTTTCCTGTCACACTAAATAGAGCTACATTGTAAACCTTAGATCTACTCTTACTGATAGCATCGCCTTGTTTTGTCATTTGCACCATAAAGACCCCCAAAAGGGACACTGTATTGTGACCGCCACTCTTGAATTATTCAAGAACTTAATGACATTTTCCATTTTAAAAAGCGAACTAATTGCCATTGATGCGAAGCATGTGACCTTCTCGGGGTGCCCAGTATGAGAATGTTACCATCTGTACAGCCACAGAACAGCAAAAATAGGGGAAAAAAGTAAACAAGCTGGATTCAAAATGAACACTGAAAATCACCCGTATTATTTAATTCCATCCAAGCCAGAACATAGAGTTTCAAAACTCTCTTCACTTGACCAAAAATCTATGTCCAATGTGTCATCAGTCGGGCCCACTTTGGGAGACCTGCGGTGACTTTTTAGTTAAGATAGACATAGCTGTAGCTGTGATTCCGAAATCAAGTATCCCTTCTTGGATGGGAAATTACTTTTTGTCCTGATTGAGCGGTCTGCCCTCTCCCTTTGCTGACTCTTCTTCATTTAATTACTTATTTATTGGAAAGGAAAAGGAACTCAAATTATGAAGACAGTTCACCTCAGTATTTACTGTTTGAATCTATCACTAGTCCTCTGCAAAACCAGGCTGGCAAGTCTTCATTTGTATGGCTTTCTTCTTAAATTATTGAAATGGGTGTTTATCCCTTTTGTAAAGTAGAGAAGACAGCTAGTGTGTTTCCCACAGTGTTCATGCCTTTCCCCTGTTTTCCAGGAAAGCAGAGAGCATACATGTGCTTCCATCAACATCCTGTGACTTCATAAATACACATACATCGACAGAGGTCCTTGTGTTCCTGAGCTGATTGACAGCCGCTAAGAACCATTTGAAAGGTGTGAAGGAGCGTTAATAGGTTCAGGAGCAAAACAGTTCACTGCGCTGGGCTCCAGAAAATACCCTGAAATTTGAACTGATGGTTGAGATGAGGCATGGAGATTTCTGCAGAAAACCACAGTGCCTTTCAGATCTACAGCCTCAAACACACATCCAGCTTAGCAGAGAGTTGAATATCCTGTGCTGGGCTGTGAATCGCCACCTCCTCCCATCCCCCGCCCTCTCTCAGAGTTTCTGGAAAGAGGACCGACATATGTGTGAACGTCATCAGTATAGCCATGTCTCTGACACAGCTGCTCTGGGACAGTGTGGGGTCGGCTGGGAAGCGACTGGCTGATCAGCCGGGGAAGTACAGTAAATGCTTTGTTAACGAGCACTGCTTAGAACAGAACAACTGTTTTCATTTTTCCTTAAAAGAAACATGTTCTCTCCTTGGCGACATGTGCTCTTGTGTTCAGTAACAAGAGAGAAGAAATGCATTAAGGATATGCAGGTTCTGGGTTATTTGTTTATTTACTTTGAAGTGCTGAGGCTGGAAACCAGGCCTCCTATATCTAAGCACGTGCTGTATTACCCAGCCACTCTCCTAGCCCACATAGCTGTTACTATTAAATAATAAAGACATTGAAGAATGTAATATAATGTGATAACAGCAGCCCTTCATGGATCATGTGTAAAAAATCATTTTAGAAATTATGCATTTATGTATTTCTATGCTTTTTTCCTTCTTGAACAGCTTGTAGACTGTAAGAATAGATTGAATTATCAAGTGTCTCATGTCTGAGCTCTATTGTATTCTACAGTGAGATTACTCAGGAATTCGGTATGCTATCAAAATAAGAATTTATTTACCTTTCTATTCTTTGGACGCAGGACCACTTGAAAGCCACCTCAGTACTGTGGAAAGATCTAGGCATCTTCTGGATACAGGGTTTCTCTCTTCTGGCTCCATTTCTAGAACTTACTGTCCTGAATGAGTCCCACCCTGTCCTGAAGAAGTGTTGGTGTTGGCATTTCCTAGAGCCAGGTGTGGAGATTTCATTCTTATCTAGTCCCTGGTTCTAGGGGGTGCGTGAGAACTTCTGATAGAGGACCGTGCTTAACTCAGTTGCACTTAATCTCGACCTTCTGCCTTCCAGTGAAAACCATCTCTGGAAAGCATCCCCATTCGACTTCTATGAAAGAGCCACAAGATAGACAGAAGCCTCCAGCTCTGCAACTGTGAAATGAATTTTTCATTGTTTTGATCTCTTATTTCTCCATCAAACTCATTGTGAAGGGATTCGCTGAGACTTTGCTGTTAGGCAAGCCATGTTTCAGCACTCTTGCTTGTGTTTGGAATTGCTGCAAAGTTGAGTGCGCATGTTCTGTGTTTGGGTTCTTTTTTTTTTTTTAATACCATGCACACTTGGGAAAGGATGAATAAGGCCATTATTTTGGACAAAAAAAATAGTTTCACTTAAACCTAGGCAGACACATCATCAGACTATTTCCCAGGTTCTAAAAGGGTCCAAAAATTACACCATACAATCAGCTGGCTGTCTTGTCTCTGTCGCTTTAATTCCAGCAAAGAGTTACATACAAGCTCTCAGCATGGCTACTTAGGTTCTCTTTTCTGTACTGAGCTCTGTAAGCCTCAGAACTACTAACACGTGGTTTCTTAAAATTCCAGAACTGACAAAGTCATCAGCCACTCTCTGCCCTTCCATATTTAATTGAATGTCTGCACTTAGACATATTTACTGGACTTCTGAGTGTCTATGTTTCCTCCCCTGGAAAATAGCATCAAGATAGATTAGCTGTGGTTACCAACAATACCTTTAAAAAAATTCAGTTCTTCCTGTTTTGAAAATACTTGTTTCATAAGCATGGATTGTGTTGCAACTCCGGGTCAGGGTTCTGATCAGACACGGAGCATTGTTTCAGCCAAAGATAGTTATTATATTACTTAGCAGTGACAGTGTCCAGCTTGAGCAAATTGCACTGTGGAAATAGGAATCCCCTGTTCGTTCTAGTACATTTTTTTAAAATAGAGACCAGGGGGATATAAAACCCCTCTTTGATTTTCTGTAGACTAAGTGAAACTCATGTGTTTGTTTTTTGCTTGTTCTTTTTGGTGCCATTTTAATTAGCTAATTAAAGCATTGATAAAAATCTATCTGGGTGAATTAGGGTAGGAAGGATCATTTCTGTAGTGAGGATACAGGGAGCCTCACACAAGACATCAGAAGGACTCTCCCTTTTTCCTTTTTCATACAATTCTACCAGGAACAGGGGTACTTTTCTTTGTTGTTTGTTTGTTTGGTTTGGTTTTTCTGGGTAGCCCCGACTGCCCTGGAACTCACTCTGTAAATGATAGCAAGGTTGGCTTTGAACTCAGAGATCCTTATGTCTCTGCCTCCCAAGTGCTGGAATCAAAAGTCTCTGTCTCTGTCTCTGTCTCTGTGTCTCTGTCTCTGTCTCTGTCTCTCTCTCTCTCTCTCTCTCTCTCTCTCTCTCTCTCTCTCTCTCTCTCTGTGGGGGGAGATCTCACTCTGTAGCCTGGTCTAGCCTCTAGTTTGTGATCCTCCTCCCTCAGCTGCTAGAGTGTTGGAGTTACTCTTGTCGCTCTCGCCCCAGTCCCTTCTCCGCAGGCTGCACTCTTGTTTTCTCTAGATTTGCTCATTCACAGCTACTGGAACAAAAAGATGAGCCAGAGGAAGGACACTGGCAGGGCTGTTTGCCTAAGAGCACCATGGGACTTAGGAAGAACAGAAGCTTCTCCCCATGCTGAACTTTGACCCTCACAAGAATGTCCCCAAAAAGGCCATCATGACACTACAGTCAGATAGCCCTGCGTACTCTCCCAAGTGTTGAGTGCATCTAACTGGAGGAATGGGACAAAATGAGGGTGGCTCAGAGCCAAGTGGTGGTGGGCCTGCCCCAGGTGGGTGCCGTGCTGAACGCAAATGCAGACACAAGGGAGCGTCGGCCATGAGAATTGTCAGTGGAAAGATCTTAAAACAGAAAGTGTCCATTTGACCTCCTTGCAGAACTGAAGTTATCCAAGTTATTTAATCTCCCCCAGAGTTACCAAATCTTATGAGAAATTAACAATGAGGAGAGAGAGAGAGAGAGAGAGAGAGAGAGAGAGAGAGAGAGAGAGACTCATTGTTAGAAATCTTTAACATCTGACCCAAGGTCTGACCTGAGATAGGAGTCCTCTTCCATGGCCAGGAAGTGTCTACCAGCTCAAGAGCGATTCTGTGATGGGAGGTGCCTGCTTACCCACACCAGGGGAACCTTTCTCTGTTGGTTTGACCAATGTTGCACGTTAATTTATACTTCTCAAAAAGGTGAATAGGGACAAGCATAGAAAAAGCTCCTGCAGGACTCTCTTGGGAGGGTAGGGCAGGCTGGCCATTTTTGAAGCTTTTGCTCCTCAACCCAGGAGGATTTACCAAAAAAACCCAACCCCACTCAGCATCTATCAACATCTATTGAGTAGTTGGGGAACAAGGTGATGCTTTTCTGCCTTGCCAGTGCGGAGAGACTTTTTCTGTTCCTCATTCCCAGGTGAAGAACATACAAAATGAAACCCAACCTGCTTAAAATAAAACACACCAACCCCAGCATGCAGTCTGCCACCTCCCCTTCCTTTACAAGCTGGAGTGCTTGCTAAGTGAAGGTTTATATGTGTGAATTTTCAGGGTGCTTTGTTCCTGTGGAGAGGATTCCAGAGGCCCTTGAAGTCCTCAGTCTTAATAGGGGAAGTCTTTCCCCCAACCCCCGCCCGTCTTGGGGAGGTTTGGTTGGAAGAAAACTGACCCTGAGTGCACTCTGGGCAAACTAGGGTGAAAGACCTGATATGGTCTGCAGGGTACTTATTAACCACCGTTCATTTGCAGGATCGATACTTCTGGCAAAGGAGTCAACACTGAAGATATACCACGTTGTCTGGCTCTTTCCTTGACACAACAATTTATTTAATAAATGCATCTCCTGCAGAAGAAGGCACCAGGCACTGTGTCTTTTATCTGCAGGATATGCAAAGCACATTTATTCAGCTTTTATCTCTGGAATTGTATGCTGATCCCATACATATAGATTGATTTTGTTCAGGTAGATAATGAAAAGTCAAGTGGAAAATTACACAATGGCACTCACGATCCTGGTCTTATATCGGTATATAAATTGGTTTATTACTTCATTCTATTAAAGGGGCTGCCCCCCTCCCAGGAAAACTTGAAAACGCACTGTATTGTCTGACTGCCTGGATTTTCTTGGGAGAAGAAGGTTGAACGGAGAGAGAAGGCACGATAATTTTCATTTTTTGTTCCCGTTCTTTTGGTTAATTGTGCAAGATAAGTAAGCAGCACCCAAGGGTGTCCTGGGAACTGTCTGCTTCCCGAAGCCCACTTCAGAGTCAAGCCGGGACCTCTGCGATTTAGACTATTAGGAACGAGAACAAATCTGCCCCTCATGAGCATCCTGTTACAGAGGTGTCTATTTTTACCAAAGACAATTTATAATTTTGTCCTGGTGACTGAAGGTGGCAACTCCCTTTGGAGTGTGGGGAGGCCAGGGGTGAGAGGGTGGCAGCATCGAGAGGCCTCCATCCAGGGACAGCTCTGAGCTGGAATCCTGGAGGAAACGTTATTAATAAACATCTTCTGGACATTTGGCAGCCCTTAGAGCTTGCTCCAGCTTAAAGCAATTAATTCAGGACACCGACATCAACTCTCCAGGTCTTTGACAGCTTGGAGCCGAAATAAAAATGCTAGTTCTCCGGGGAAGAGGGGAGGAGGGCCCGCTCTTTGCTGGACTGTTTGCTTATGGGCCCAGCGAGCAACCTTCCCTGCACAATGAAATGCAGGGTCGCACACAACCAACCGGCAGAGAATAGAAGATGGGAACGGACAGTTTGAACTATTTGCTCAGCAGAAGGGCACCACAATGCTGGGGTAGTGGCTTTCCCATGCATCCACTGTCCCTTCTTTGGGATCTTTTGTTGTCCCTGTCTCCTTTGGCCAGATAAGAACACAGCTGCAGCCTTGCAGCTAAGTAAGGCTTCACTTATCCCCTTAAATCTCGGGGTGTCTTTACTGTACCAGGCATAGACCAGCTTTTTTCTTTTTTGACCAGAGGACTGGGAGGGAGGGAAGGAATGAAGAATTGAGGGGGAGGGGACAGAGAGAGGACTCTCACATTGCCCATGTCTGGTTTATGCCTCTCTTTCTCTCCTTTTTAAACCCAAGCTGGGATAAGATGCAATCTTTGTGGGCCAGTTTTATTGAACGGTCAGTTTTGTGTGCCAAAAAAGGCTGCCTTCTAGGGGAGGGTTGTTTGTGTATGCTGTGTAGGGAAGACTAGTTTTGAAGCTGCTTTAGGGCATTTTCGGATTCCTTCAGCAGCTAAAAAGAGGGCAGAATTCGAAGGAGTCGATTTTAAAAATTGGTCAATTATAATTCTCTGTTTCTGAAAATCATTTCGGGCTCTTCTTCCTACAGTTCATTTGTTCCAAACTGTATAATGCTAGTTATGTGTTATTAAGAACAGGATGACCTGGAGATGGGGGAAAAACGTGCATTTGTATTTGCTGTAAATTGCACTTAAGTATCAGTACCATTGCTCTCCCACACTCATCCTCACAGGCCTGGAGAGATGGCTCAGTGGTTAAGAGCATTGGCTGCTTTTCCAGAGAACCTGGGTTCAATTCCCATCACCTACATGGCAGCTCATAACTCTCTGTAACTTCAGTCCCAGAGGCTCTGGCACCCTCATACAGACATACATACATGCAAGCAAAACACCAAGGCACATAAGATAAGAATAAATAAATCACTAACATTTTGTTTTGTTTTCTTTCTTTCTTTCTTTCTTTCTTTCTTTCTTTCTTTCTTTCTTTTTTTTTGTTTTGTTTTGTTTTTCGAGACAGGGTTTCTCTGTAGCTTTGGAGCCTGTCCTGGAACTAGCTCTTATAGACCAGGCTGGAATCGAACTCATAGAGATACACCTGCCTTTACCTCCCAAGTGCTGGGATTAAAGGCGTGCGCCACCACCGCCCGGCCTACATAACAATTTTTAAAAAATTAGAGCTCGTGTCTTAATCATCACAAAAGAAAGCGGACGTTAGCCTAAGCTCTACTTTCCATTCAAGCTGATTTCTCCGGAGTTAATTCAAAGTCAAAACCTGAGGTTTTGCACTGCTGCATGGTATGTTCCGACTTGGTGGGTTTTGCCACTAGTTGGCTTTGGAAGTGAGGTTCCTCTGATGTTTATTTCTATTAAAATAGGGTTGATTTAGCACAAATGATTTTATAAGGTGAAAAGGCAAAAAAAATTAACACCAAAGAAAATGGTTTGCTATGACTGCATTAGAATTCACTGCTAAAGCCCACCTGACGCAAGTCTTGGTGCTTTATAGGCTTGAATGACTGTGTCTGTTTTTCCCACTAACGAAACCGGTGGGGAAAACCCTCTTCCGTCTATTTTTCCTGCTGGGTGGTCAGAGGGAAAGGCCAGGAAGCCAAAGGCCTCCCATTGAGACCCTCTTCTGTAAGAGGCGACCTCACATGGTGCTTCTGGGGCACCTGTTCATCCCTACTCACTGTGGGTGTGAGCTGTGAGCAGGCAGCCAGAGGCCACGTGTCACCTCCCCGCTCTCCTGCAGGGAAACTGCCACCTACAACACCGTCACTTCGCAGGGCCTCTAACACGTTCACAAGCAAAGCTGGAAAATGATTGTGATGCCGGTGAGTGTTACATTTTATGGTGTGTGTGTTTCAGGGAGAAAGGGATGCCCAGACATTTGCGAATGTTTGATGACATCATGAAAAGACCAAAATAAAGGATTCTATCAAATGTCATCTTTTGCTATGATTTTCTACACACATATATGAATGTATAATAACCTTAAAAATAAGTACTGACACATTCAAGTCCTGTTCCAATTCTTTCATTTTTCTTTTGTAAGCAGACATTAAAAATTTTTGTATTCAGTGCCCACCTCCATTATATCCTATAATAAAGGTACATGTTTTTTTTTTTTTTTCCAATTACATTTGCAGGCTACATGTGTTCTATTTCTCCATGAACTGAGGCTGTAACTGCGAATATTACCAGCCAAGATAAATGTATTCGTTTTTCTTTCTCTAACTCTGGCCTGTCAGTGTGGTTCCCCCCCCCCCCAGTGTGGTTTCTTAACATATCTAAAAATCATGGTGAATCACGGCGGATAATTCATCTAAAAAGATTTTCTTTCTCCGGAGCCCATGGCTTTCCACACAGGAATGCCGGGTTTTTATTTCTAATTTCTGGGTGGATACAAAGCTGCCCGTGTTGGGAGGCCCCTGAGGGAGGAGCATCGCCAAGGGCGAGGGCAAACTCACAAATAATGAATCGAGTTTAAAGACTGTGGTCAAACGCAAGGAACAAGTGATACTGATCGTATATGTAAGGGGCCTGGACATCACACCAGCTGCCATGGGGTTTGATTAATGAGGCATTAAGGAGATCGAGTGACACTTACAGCTAGTTACTTATGGTGCTAATTTCAAAACACTTTGTGATAGACAAAGAGACTCTGCTCATAATGCAGAGTAATTTGTGGTGTGTCCCCGGCAAATGCATTTAGTGAAGCAAATATAGTTATGCAGAATTTAAATTAAGGTTGACACTAATGTAAACAGAGCCCAAGAACCACTGTCCAATAATTTGATGAGGACACAGGTTTTAATCAAGCCTCTTCCACTAAAATAGCAATTTAAATCCCCATCGTTTAAACTGGATAAAATGCTTAAGCTGGGAAAGCTGGGGATTGCGGTGGGGAGGGCAATAAAATTTACTGGGGAAAAATTTTTTTAAACAGAAACACAATATCTCTTGGGGAAAGTGTGACTCCACACAGACCCAGCCTAAGGAGATGCACGTCCTTTTAAATTGCAGGTTGATTTCAAGGCCAGAATCTGTATGGTTTGATCACATTTTAGCTCGGAGTGTTTCCTCTGTTGTGAAGTTAAAATTTGATTATATTCTAGCAGAATTGATCTCTGAATAAAAACGCTCCTGAAATTAAGAAGGAAAAGTCGAGACTCAGAGGTTCCAAAGCATTTGCTTATTCGGAGAATGTATTTCCCATCCCATTCTTATTTGAAATGAAAAATTCCCCGTTGACTGGGAGGTGGGGGAGGGGCAGACTTACCCAGCCCAGGCAGCCTTCCTGAGAGGTTGACTTTTCCGGGGTACCCTCACTCACACATGGCTTTGTCTGGAGTTGCCAATTTATCTTGGAGTCAAAGGGGGAGGGTGGGGGGTCAGCAGACATTAACATTAATGAAAATGCCAGCAGCCTGGGGTCGGGGCCCAGGAAGGTTTTGTAAATGGGAAACAAAACCAAACAAAATAACAATTTATTCTGTCACTGCTCTTGCAAGGAAACACAAGTAACAGTTTGGTGAAGTTTCTTATGGCCTCTGGACTTGACTGCTGGCTGAGGAGCGGGAGGTAGGGAATCCTCAGTTCTCCAAATCACACTCATAATACGTCTTCCTTGGAAAAGAATTTCTGCATTGAAGTGTGCTTCTAAGTTTGGAAGAAAGGGCCAAAAATTATTGGGGGGGGGAGGCGGGGAGACAAGTGCTTCCAATGGAAAGTATTCTGAAAAGACCTGTGCCTTTTCAGTTCATGGCCACCCATCTTCAAGTCAGAAGGGGACATTTGGGGGTGAAGGGGGTTCTGAGTATTTAGATGAGCCAAGCAGAATAGATCCAGGAAACTGCAGCCACACTCAGGCGGCCCTGCAGCTAGGAGTGACAAGGTAGGGTAGATCCATTTCCTAGGTTATGCCCTCTTTTTGTTTGTTTGTTTGTTTGTGTTTGTTTACTTTTATGTGCATTGGTGTTCTGCCTGTAAGCAAGTCTTTGTGGAAGTGTCTGATCTTGGAGTTACCACGTGGGTTCTGGGATTTCAACCCAGGTCCTCTGGAAGAGCTGACAGTGTCCTTAAGCACTGAGCTCATGAGCTGTGTCCTCTTTAATTGAATCCCACAGAGGGCGTCACCATGTGATCCTTTGGGGCTAGGGTGGGCCATCCCAAACTCCCTCCCCGTACACATGTAAAAGAAGAAGAGTTCCCTGGTGATGTCTCTAGGACATTAGAGAAAATGTACTGAACTCTGCCTGTGTGTGCCTGTGTGTGCGGAGAACAGTTCTGAGCAGGGGGGTCTGATGCTAGAGAACTCTTGGACCTTGGAACACTGGACCTTATAATCAGAGGGAAGGGGGATTGCAAATTTGGGGATCTGTCTAGGGGTGTCTAGGAAGACAGAACTCTGAGAGCTGGCAACCTTCAACTCTGGTCTAGGCCAGGAACATAGGGGTAAGGGAGTCACATTAGGTTACATTCGGGCTGCCAGGGTATCTTCCAGAAGGGTGGGTATATACAGTTATAGAAATCTGTTAGGTGATGATTCTGTTAGGCCTCTTATATAGAAACTTGCCTACCTCCCTCCTACAGGAGGTTGAGAACAGCCACCCCTTACCCTCTCCCTGTGAGAATAGTCTCCTCGGGTGAAGAGCACTTGGCCTTGGCACACAGTGTTGATCCCTGCCCCGGGGAGGGGGTGCCTACATGTCTTGGATGCCCATGCACATCTGGAGTGCACTGAAGCCACTGCTCACAGCAGGGCCCAGCCCTAATAAGGAACAGACCCCTTGTCACCCCTTACCCAGACTCCCCACTTAGTCCAACAGGAGTTCCTGGTAGGCTGGAGACCTGCTGATGACAAGGCAGTAATACTTCCAGCATCACCTTTGCATCCTCCCCTGCCTCATCATCCCCAGAGTCCACACTATTCACCTTCTGTTTCCAGTGGCAAGGGCTGTCTTCATGGATTTCCACAGCGTCACAGTACTGGCAACGCCAGCCGTATTGTGGGAGCTACATAGCAGAAGCATTAGGCGCTCCCGGCTCCCCCGATGATTGTCTAAGTCTTGGTTCTGGAGATAAGTTCTCAGAGGCTTGAGACCCACCCTGGAAAGCATCTCTTTCTTAAGCTGATGCACAGCCAGCAAATTGACCCGAGCCTATACACTTGTTATTCTTCCTGCTCCTAATGTCCCTGAGAAACTTGGACGTTTCAACTTTTTTTTCCGTGGACTATCCATTGCCCTCTCCCCTCAAGGATAAAACCAAACAATTCCTCAGGCTACTGAGGAACATGCTTCCCAACATGTTCTGAAAATGACTGATGCCTGCCAGTTCAGACTCACTTCTTTTTAAAGCAACCTAAGTGGACCTTTGTTCGGAGGTCCCAGCTAGGAAGCACAGCTATCTGGATACCCTTGCCTGGAAGACCAGTCCTCCTTTATTCAGGGAAGGAGGATCTCCACAACACAGAGCAATAGCAGAATATCCAAAAGGAGTTCCAGTGAGGATCCAGTATTGATAGTGTAGCAGAAACCAGAGGCCTCGACCAAGACCAGTGACTCATTGCAATGAACATCTGCAAGCAAGGATGTACCACTAAAGGGCACTGTGTGACTCACTGTGACACACTACAGCTTCCGCGACAAGAAGTTTCTGTTGTTTTTGTCTTTTTTATTTTTGGGGGGTGGGGCGTTTGCAATGACAGAGGGTGGTAATGAAGGGACAAGGCAAAGAGTAGGACTGGAGTGCATGATGTGAAATCCACAAAGAGTCAGCAAGAAGTTAGGAAGGAAGGAAGGAAGGAAGGAAGGAAGGAAGGAAGGAAGGAAGGAAGGAAGGAAGGAAGGCAGGCAGGCAGGCAGGCAGGAAGGAAGGAAGGAAGGAAGGAAGGAAGGAAGGAAGGAAGGAAGAAAAGA